CTTTCACACATGATTTGCTACGTGGGGACTGAAGATTGCATGTGTGATCACTGCAACCTGTGCCTAGGAGCTGAACCATCATTCAGCCTCTTTGAGAGGCAAGACATATTCTGAAAACTGAAAAACATAACTTTTAGGAAATTTTCAGCCGTAATACAGCATTATTTTATCTGCAAGTCAAGCCAATTTATCTGAAGTATTAGGTTGTAATTGCCCAAGGACAGTGTTATCTGCTTTATGGATTTTGCTGGGTTGTTGCATCATGTTGTATGGTGAAATGTTTGTGTTAAGAAGTGCATAGAATTTGATATTTGGCATTTGGGGTAATACTGACGAGCGTATTTGTATGAGATTTGAGGTTATCACTACAGTGAAATTTTTGATAGTAGTCTACTGGGATGTAGTGCCATGTAGTCTTGAAGGTGGTTACCACAGTTGGCAGGAATATTTGAGGATGGTGGATCAGATGGAAATTTGTCATTTAAGTATTTGTTTCTTATGCTCTACTATTAATATGCAATAAGTTTAAGACATCTGGTGTGAAAAGTAAATTTCATGTTGACTTGTTCAGTCACAACTTTTGCATTAAGTGGAAACTGTGAAATCCACTTCAATATTTGTGCTGGTACACATACTGTTTATCATTGTCATTCCAGCGTAGTGGAAAGTGTTGTGTCACAAACACAAATTTTATATGTGGTATGGAAGAGAATTGCTTGCTACACCCCCTTTATTAGCTTTATTTAGTATGTGATAAAACCAGTTATCTTAGTTGTTTAGGAATCTCACTCTTATCAACATTTATTAGTTTTAACCTGTATGAAGGCAGCAAATGAATACAAATTCATGTGTAACAGATTAACTTCGAACCTATTTCATATTCAGTGCCCCCTGACCAATATTGTCTATGGCTGGAGTAAAGTTGGTTGGTAAAGTCTTGTAGCAGTTTTTTCACCTGAATGCTTAATTGTTGACACCATATTGCATGTTTGAAATAGATGAAATAGGAAGCACATGCAAAATTTTTGAAAAATAGATGCACAAAAATTGGGATACCAAGGATTACTGTTTTGAAGTGTATTTTGAGAAACTAGATTATGAGGATGAAGATGGTTGTCTTCTGGGTGTTAGCGCTATGTAGTCTGGTAAATCTTCACCAGCATTTCAGTGGTCAAATTTGTACCAGTCTACACAGCGTAACAACCCAGAAGATTGACATCTTTATACTCACTGCTTTGAAAACCTCTAATCCTACAGACCATGAGGATCTGAAGTAGGTTGAATTGCCGGATGATATGCCCATAACATTTGTTGTAATGTTGGAACTTCTGTAGCTGAGAAAATGAGAATTGTGGTTTTCTGGGCTGTGATGCTTTGTAGTCACCCTCAAGATGAAAATAATAGCTTTATGTAAAGTATTTGCAACCACTTATAGTACTACAAGGCATCAAAACACGGAAGTCCACAACTGCTGAGTGTTGAGGAAGGATATTGCATCCGAATACCAGTGCATCCAAGTTTACCTGCCCTTGAATTTCTTTGTGGATTGCTTCTTGCATTTCTGAGACATGATTGCATTTCAGACAAAACTACATCAGAAACAAGGAGCGGAATTACAGTTACACAATAGAAAACATCCTTAACAGAAATGTTAATGCATTGGATTGTGCTGGGTGCTAGATGTGTATGCTGTTTCATCTTTTTGCAGAATGCCCATGACAGAGAAGCCTGTGAGGCGATCCTAAGACGCGAGAACCAGGGCTACCTCCTGCATAGCTACCCCATTGCACTGAAGATGTCAGCAGAGCCTGCGCACAATCCACCTGCACTGTGTGACCAAACGTTTGTTAGTGGAGTTTCAAGAAGTGATGTTAGTGTTCCCAACCAACAGTCCAGTAATTTTGAGTTTGTGACTAATGTCACTGATGATGGTGATGCAACATACAGTCAGAGGGACAGGACTGTCAGTGTGATGACATATAACAGTGGTGAGGAACGACGGGACAACTATGCGGTGAATGTCAACTACAGTACAAGCCCCAGTACTCGTGTGCGGTCTGCACTGCAGGTCTCTCCGTCTCCACATTATATATGTGTTCCGCACCAGCAGGCACGTTCTTATACCTCAGTCAACTTGACGCTGCGTCCACCCTCATCAGAGCCGCAGCCTCCCATCGACATCCGGTCTGCTGGTTCTAGCCTGACTTACTCTACGTGTTCTTACGATCCGCGGCAAGGCTTTCAATCCCAGCTGCAGATCTGTATTGGTCCTGGTGGTGTGGGCAGTGTATCAGCCCTCCGAACACATGCACCACCAGTACACACGTGTTATTCGGCAGCATTCGGGGGACGGGAGCAGGAGGAGGAGCGACCCCAGCTCTTTGCACCTGGTGAGTAGTGTCGTTACAGTTTCAGCATAGAAGGAATAAACTTCTTCCTGCAGTGAGTAGAATGTGTAAATAAAGTTACGCCTTCTTTATTTTTGTGCACAGTTATAAACTTCTCACAATATATATAGTGTGTGTGTGTGTTTGCGTGTGTGCACGCATGTGCATGTGTTGTCTGCTTGCATGAAGCTCAGGTTGGAAAAGTCAACTGTATGCAAAAATTGACGGCAACTCTGTAATTCAGAGCTTTCCTAGTGCGGTTCTTGACTCGGACTCTGAACTGAAAGTGATGAGCTGGCATAGCTCAGTAAGTATAGTGACTGGCTGTGGACTGGGGTTCGATCTAGCCTCTGCGTCCAGACCGGTTTTGGGGCCTACCCTGCCTCCTATCCAATGGGTACCGGGGTCCTTTCCACAGTGGTAAGGCGCAACTGGGGCATGACGCTGACCACTCACCCCCATCTAGTACCGAGGTCAAGAATAAGTAGGAGCTATACCGCCTTTTCCCTCACGCGCCTACATGGCACATAGTGGGACTGCTTTACCGTTACTCTACTGAAAGTGATAAGTGCGCTTTTATTAACATACACATAATACGAAACTATATGAAAGTTAAAATTGCTTGTGAAAATGAGATTAAACTATTGTTATGGTATATTTTGTCCCCTTTAGATGTCGGGGTGGGGGGGAGTTTGTTTTTATTGTTACAGAACTGCATATCGTAGTGAAACCTTAGGGTGTAGTCCTTTAGAGCCCTAAAATGTCCTGTGCAAATTGTGTTGTAGTTGCATGTGGCATTTAGCTGCCGTCTAGATTTGTAATGATTGATGTGTGGGCAGTGACAGATTGGGGCACGATAGATTTGGAAGTTTGAGAACGGGGGGGGGGCCAAATATATCCTTACTGGAGTGAAGTATTTAGTAGCTGTGAGCTGAGTGAAGATTCTAATGCAGTGGTTCAGAAACTGCACCATTTAATAATGCTCCCTTCGTCAATTGTTCTTAGAAATTAAATTTGACGTAAGTTTCCTCGGGTATCCCTTCTGCTTTGGCTAAATCTTTGAATAATGGCTCATAAATCCATCTGGAAAGAGGCACTTGGAGCAACGCCGCAGGTCTTTGTTTGTTTGTTTGTTTGCATTTCCTGGAAACAACTATTGACACGCGAAACATCCAGCAACATTTTGCGTCTTCCGGACAGTTTGTGAACCGATCTCGCTGTCGGGATACCACAACAACACCGGGGAAAGATCTAGGATGCCCGTTGATCGAGCCTGTCAGCCGTTCCGGACGTAGGGGCGAAGAGAGAAGGAGATCGTTGTCCCTACCGGGATTCAAACCCCGACAGTCCGGATCGTCCAACAGTTTTTATCATATGGCTTTTTGTTGAATACGGATTTCCGCCGTCGCCTTCACCTTGACCAAACAGTTTTAAAGTTCGCGATATGATATGGGCTCGCTCGCCAGCTGGCAGTCCCCCAACACCAAATGTGGCCGCTATTTCTGGTGCACTCATAAGGCGAGCCAAGTACTGAGCACACCGTGTCGCCCGCGCGCCCAATTTTTAAGCTTTTCCCCCAAAAATTATTCAACTGCGTACTAGAACATGCCGTAAGGAAGGGCGATAGATTGTTTTCTCACTTGGTTAAATTCAGTCCTGTCCTGACGATAGGTAAACCGTTCTCAGCGTCGCGCCTTGCAGGTGTATGGATGTGAGTTGTCTCCGGCCGCCTTTAACCCTGGGCGCGACAATGAGATCGCCGTGAATTGTACTTTTGTAGTGACCAAGGAAAACCCTGACTGCTCCGTCATTTTGTCTGCGTGTCAGTTTGAGTCAGACCTCGTGTGAGGAATCGATCGGCTGAATGAATGCCTGTCAGCTGCTGAAGAATGGAGCCTACAATTCACTCCACGAAGCGGAGAAGCTGATAGTCGTTCAGCGAGTCAGATTCCGAATCTGTTATGGAATCTAAATTGAGATTCTGGGAGTTTCTCATGAACTTCCGTGTTAGGTTCAGCACGATTGGCACACCGTACAGAATGACCGACGTCGGTGTCGGTCTGCAGAGTTTAATGGCGTGTGCATTTGCTATGGAACCCTGAAGGCTACGGCAGCGTGTTTAACGTTGTTAAAACCCCGAATACTAGCGCTGGAAATTTTTATTTCCGTCATTCTCTGATATTTTAACATTGCCGCATTGAATCTGTCTACAGTGTGGTTCTGCCAAAATGGATTTTTTTTCCAGAAGATTCTCGAACACCAAAGTTGTAAAACAAATAAAAAAACCTTTATCAGTTGTGATTTGTGCTTAAGAAGCGATAGGATGTACTTGCCACTGGTTAAGCATTTTGCCTCAGTCGAATTTTTTTTCTTCGGAATCGCCTGCGATGTGGCACATACGTCGGGGTGTGTTCAGCATTTCAAAAGCCGTGTCAGCTTTCCAGCCACGCGCTCTGCTACTCGTTGACGTCCTCTGTTCGGAGTAAGTTAGTGCCGGACATTTAAATAGCCACATTTATTATTTAAAATACCCCACAGATTTTGCCCTACAATCGTCAGTTTAAAAATTAATTTTTGTGTTTCCTTGGAAGTGTAACCTAACGCGTTGGAGTTGCAAGTCCTCTGCTACTGGCAGTATTGGAAATTCTGCGTTGCTCCGTCTATTTTAAAATATGACGGGGTAAGTGTCAGACGATTCGGGATTTGGCCAGAAGGATAAACATCATCAACACCTACTTCAAGAAGTTGAGATATTCACCCATTTTCTGCAAGACGAATGTTGTAGAGAACTTGAAGCTCCGTCTGCTGCCGAGATTAAGAATGCGTGGAGCGTCACCCCTGCGCCCTCTACATATTTTCATGACGTAACAGCGTAGCCGCTAGGGTTTTTGTGAAGACGGTAGTGAACCTTCGGGTCCTTAAAATGCCCCGAATTTATTGACCGTCTGAGCGACTGTCAGCTTCTCCAGGGGGATTCTGCTCCACGGAATTGATCTGTAGTAAACACGGACGAATCAATGCCACAAAGATAAGACGCATTTGCTCCCACACAACATGGAAAACTTCCTTTGTTTTATCGAAATGAGATGAGCGAGGAATCGATAAATCGTATCGCGCCATGCGACCAAGACCAATAGCGAGACGCGGGAACAGTAATATTATTAATATGATTTTGTATGGAAATAGGGTTATGTTACATAAAAGTTGTGCAGCCATGTACCCACTTGGTCCCAAACCAGCCCCAATTTTGCACGTCTTATGTAGCCTCGTCAAATTTCAGAATTCTGCTTCAACCATCAGACCTAAAAATGAAGGAATACCTTAATTACGCATATTTCGTGGCTTCACGTTCCTACAGCTTTACTCCGGATACCAACTAGACATCGTTCTAGTCAACGTACTGCTCTCAGGTTGGAAAGCATTGGGGCATCATCGGCGATGATTTCTTTTGAAGGGATCAACTACTAATCAGATATTCTGCATTTGTCAGATACTGCAAAAACTCAATAAACAGTACAGAAGCTAATCATGGACTTCAGGAAGGAAGGATCGTGTTAGTTTAATTCTGTTCCTGTATTCATGAAGCTTGTTTGGTCAATTAAAATGAATTTATACAAAATCTATCGAAATAAACATTTGTCCATTACATTTCCTGTTCTGAATCGTCTGAAACAAGTTTTTATTTTAGAGTACGCCATTTTGTAATTCCAATAAAATAAATGAAGGATTGGAACCGGGTAGAACACGCCAGCTTCTGGTCTATGCTGATTCTTAATTAATGGGGTGACAACATATGCGTATATCAAGATCTGTTGGGTGCTAGTGTGGAAGTTTGTCACCAGATTCAAGAGGGATGAATTTACGAGAGTCTAGCAAAATCTGAATGTTTAACTCCGTAATTTACTCTCTTCACCGAATATTGATTACTGTGACGATCAGATCAAGGAAGTTAAAATGGGCTGGGCATATAGCTGGAATGGGACAGATGCGAATTGCGTACGAAATTTTAGCCAAGAAATCTCAAGGAAATAGCCCACTTGTGAATATAGGCGTATATTAGAAGATAAATGTTAAAATGTATCTCAAGGAATTTTGGTGGGAGTGTGTGAACTGGATCCAACTGGCTCAGGATTGGTAGGGAGGGGCGGGCTCACGTGAACATCGCAATGAATCTTTGGGTTCCGTAAGAGACGGGGAATTTCTTGACTTGTGGAATTATTATCGATAGTGTGGGCTCTGTACGCTGGCCAGGTTAGAAATTGAGAAAATTACATTGATCAAGAAGAATGTAGTGTGCGGGACATGTGTATAGCACAGGCGCAAGTGGGAAGATAATATTAAAATGGACATTTGTGAGAATGTGTGAGCCTTCCGATCCCGTAACAGGTAATTTTTTTTTAAACATCCTTGCCCTTTCCTCACGCGTCTATAGTTAGCCGTGCACACCCCCACATGGGCTGCGGAATGCCAGACCGGCCGAGCTAAACCCGGGCCAAAGTAAATATTGTGGCGAGATGGACTTGCAATATTTCAGCTTCGGGAGAGCTCTGCCCTTACAGCATCAATAAATTCTGACGGAAACCTCAGTCAGAACTAACCCAACTTTTCTTTATTTCCCGCCTTACGTGCGCTGTGGGGTTCCCAGAGAGACTCTTCTTTATTGATTTTAATGCTCGCTAGTTGTACGGCGTAAATTTAAAGCCACTTTAAAGTGATAATCGCGCTGAAATGTTCATACGCTTGCGACGTTATTCTCCATTAAAAATTTGTCCATTGCGGACTTGGCTAATCCCCCCCTGTTTGTGAACTGCATCTATAGGATATTTATCAACGATATTTTCTTTCATCAGTAATACCACCAAGACGAGCACGCAAGAGCGTCAGGGTTCTCACTTTTTATTTTGTGTCAGTTCTTGAAAGTTGGATCTTTTAGTGTCTTTTAGTTGGTACTACTGTTCCAACCTCAGAGGTTCACACTATTGACGTGTTAGTATTGTTGATTGTGAAACCTTTATTGTTACAATAATAATATTGATGCCTGCCTGGACATGGTGGCTAGGTAAAGGAAAAAGAACCAGAAAATTGCAGATTTTTAAAGAGTAGTTTGCTGATGAATGGTGTGTATTGCACACCTCATTACATCTACCTTGATTTTATCACACAAATAATACTGGGCACTGAGTAGGAATTATGAAGCTTCTCATTTTGCATTTTCGTCCATCATGTAGTTACTCTTTTCTCAAACACCCCACAATTTGTATTCTTCCCTTGGAGTGAGAGACCTCATTTCACACCCATACAACATAGCAGGTAAAATTATAGTTTTGTGTATTTTAATATGTACATTTTTGTATTGGGGATGGAAAGGCAAAAGATTCTGAATAAAATGGCAAATAATAAATAAATAAATCCGTGCTGTAACAGCTCCAGAGAGCCAAAGCCGACTAGCTTGACTGCTGGTCTCACGCTCACATGCCTAAGCAGAGGTGAACGATCATCCAACCAGATATAGGGTGACGTGTGGTCAGCACGACGAACCCCCAGCCATTGCTAGTTTTCATGACCGGATTACGCTACTTAAAATGGTGGCAAACATTGTGTATATTTAATCTGCTCTTAACTTTTTTTGATATAATTTTGGTTTGTTACTACCATTCCCAAATATTTAAAATGTGCCACAGTTTTTGAAGACTTTATCAGCTGCCTTCATGATTTTTCTTGCATTCTGGTGAGGTGTATGAACATATACACAATTTTATCTTATTTTACAGTAGTCAGGGCAAATCTCTGATTCTGAGTACCATTAGAATTAAATGGATGAGAGGAGTGGGAGAAGGACACACGTACTTATTTCCCAGCAGCAATACTTTGTACCTTGCCATCTTATATCCTGTACTTCTACTCTGATGAAGACAGGTCATGAGACTTGAGTTGGGGATTTCAACAAAAATGAGATCAGTGAGAAATAGAAAATCAAGCGACATGTCTTACCCATTCATCTGATCAGCCTTCATTTCTGAAATTAGTCTTTAAATGTTTGCTATTTGATGTGGCATCAGCGTAAGTTGGGTTGTTACGTAGTGGGTTCAGGTTGACAGCTCACAATGCGTGAGTCTGTGGTTCGATCCTATATATATATGTTTTTTTTTTGCAGTAAATGTTCAAGAATTATTAAGAATCACATGAAGATGTAAATTGGAAATAAGGAGATGGGAATTGTAAAGCTGCCTCTGGTGTCCAATGCTGCACTGTTCTGGTTGTAACAGGCTGTTTTACCGTTCTTTAGCAAAGGGATTGATTGTTTCCACTTTGTCATATCTTTCTCCAACTCTTTCAAGATTTTCCCTCCAGCCTTCAAGTAGTCTTTTTTCCTTCAGCATGTCTGTCCAATGCTTTTGTAATGTACATAAGTAAAAGTATTAAAAATATATTAAAATTAGCCGTCAATCACAATATAATATAATTAAAATATTAAAATATCATTTTACGTTCCCTATCGAGTACTCGATTTACATGTGGAACATACACGACATGTTTCGGCTATATATAGCCATCATCTGGTGTTATGTATATAAACTTTTCACTAAATTACTGATTTTTTACTGATTTTTAATGATTTTTCATTTTTCTTATGATGTTGTGAAATAGGTTTTTATCATTAGTGGGATTAATGAGTGAGCAGGATGATTCCTCGTTTATGGTTGCAAATTTTCTTTCACTGTTTACTGTGCACTATGATGCTATCTGCTTCCATTGTCTCATTAGACTGATGAGCACTTGAAACCTTGCTTACCGTGTTTGTATGCATGATTTATGTTGATGAACACTGCCCATTAACAAACAAACTGTGCATGTATTGCTGGAAATGGTAATTCCATGAATTAATACCTATATACTGTTCCAAAAAAATGATAGGCCATTTTTGAACACATCAAAGGAAGGTCATCTTCTGGGATGTTGTGCCATGTATTTAGTAGATACTGACTCGTGTTTTATATGAGCTTATTGTCTCCATAATTAGGGTGATCATTGTACATCTTAACAGCTGTTATGGCTAACATTTCTCGTGATTTTCTTCAGTCTATCCAGGCAAATTCTGGGATGGTGTCTTCATCCAGTTCTGTTCAATTCTAATTTTTGCAGTAAAATAACTGGCAAATAACCAAATATCAGTACTGAGAGCATTGAACTAATTTAATGTTTTTCAAAACTATTAGGTTCTGTCACTGCCATTGTGTTACTTACTTGCTTAGGATACGTAGGCGACTCGTTCTTCAGTGCCTTGAGCATCTGTGGGTCCCAACATTCATTGGCTTTGATCTATTAGACAGTTGGTAGGACTCTTTGGGTGAGTGATCGGCCTGTCGCAAGGCCTCTACCTATACACAGGACAGCACAACACAGAGAGACGCGGACAAACATCCGTGCCTTGAGTGGGATTCGAACCCACGATCACAGTGTCCAAGCGGTGTAAGGCCCACGCCTCAGACCGCTCGGCCACTGTGATGGCTGCCATTGTGTTACAGTTCAATTTTATGAATGTGAAAAATGAATGGATGACTCCTACATGGTACATAATTAATAGTGTGTCATGTATTTTACTGTCTCTGTAGTTGGGTGTGATCCCTGAAGGTTTTCATAAATCTCTATGTAAAAAGTACCATACATGTTTGATTATGTTTCAGTGCTTCTGCAGCAGCAGTTGGAGCGCAAAAATAAACTACAACAAGAACTGCGGAAAGAGAGGGAGAACCTGCGTGCCATGCAGCGGGAAGTCCAGGAAATGAGAAAGGATCTTGAGCAGCGGCAGCAGCGCAAACAGGCTGTCTCTCTGCCCATCATGTCCTCTGTGGTATTAGTGCAATATTTCAGCAGTTTAGCCTTAAGCAGTACTGCATGATGGATACTGCACTGTAGCATGCACCGCTCCTGATTTGTAATTGGGAGGCAACCAGTTTCAGTATGACACAGGGACTCAGAAATTTTGAGGTTTTTCTCACTGTCAGTGCTAAGATATAATTTATTCTAACTAATTAAACTGTTAGTGAAACCAAAATGATCAACATAGTTCATACTGAAGCGTGCCACTGGACACAATCCTGAAGCAATTTTGTCACAATCTTACAACCCATTTTCCTGAGATGTTGGCCCCCCTGCTCATTGGGCAGACTCTCTTGCTGTTGAGTATAACATCAGGAATTTATGTGGCCATACCACCAGACACTGGTCCACTCGAGCACAGGATAGAGAGGAATGGAGGAGATGCTGGGACCCGTGCAAATCAAGCTGAAGAATGGGTCGTTTAAGTGCTAAGTTAAGAAGTATCTTATTAATTAAAACGTAAATGCCCTATTCGCTTTCAGTAAAGGTTAACAAACTCTATTAGCAGAATCCAACTGTTCAGTGCTTGTAGCTCACTCATATTGTGAGACCCTAAACTGTAGCTTAGCGTGTGTGCTTGTCTGGCACTGGTCCCTATGTACATACTTATTCAGTGAATGTAATATGTATATGAGTGTGTGAGAGACAATTTCCAAGACTTTCACAGCATTGACGGTGTCTGGCCCCTCTCCCTTTATTAGAATTTGCTGGGGAATACAGTACCATTGTGAAGCGCACTGCTGTCTCGTACATGCGTGGTGGTGCTAATTTGGAATGTGCGTTCCAACTAAAGGCAATTTTTTTCGCAACTTTACACCGTGGTACAATCATTATTAGATAGACTCTGCAAACTTGCAGAATTTCAGGTCAGGTTTTGGCCTGACAAACTGGACCATTCTCTTGTGAGTGATGACTGTCATATATACTTAATCGGTCATGAAGTGAGTGTGTTCAAGTGAGCATTGTGAAAATCTTAATTCTCTTCTGAAAAGCTGGGAAATTTGAATTTTCTGACATGTTCCACTGTGTTGTTAATTACCAAGATTTTCATTCATACTATGAAAGAATATACTGTCAACACAACTTAAAATTGTTGTCTCAACTTGCACTACATGTTTCAGACATTGTGATTATCTTCAGGTGAACACACACTGCATCAGTAGGTTAATATTACTTTTAACGGAAACTTTACATTTAAATTGATCGTCACCTTCTTGTTCTCTTTGTTTCAGCTTCAGAAAGTACAGGAGTTGCGAGTGGAGATCCAGAGGCTGCAGGAAGAGTGTAAGAGGATGACACAGGAGGTCGACCTCAAGTTGGATGCTCGAGTGCCACTTGGGGAGACAGATGAGGAGTTCTACAAAAATATCTACACTGGGCAGCAGGGTTTTATCTTTCCTCCATCTTCTCATCTTCCTCCATCTAGTGAGTTCACTGAATTGCAAAGTGAGAGGTGAAGTTGTTTGAGGTGACTGCAATTTATGAAGGGAATAGCGATGTTCATTCTGCTCGTAATGTCCTCACATATTTCCTTTTCAACATATTGTCAACATAATTTCTTGGCAAAACATGTACCCTTCCTGCTAAGGATGATATTTGCATCTGTGAGTAATTTAGTAAGTGGGGTCGAAGAATGTGATTAACGTTGTTACAGCCATTGAATCGGTAAGGTAAGGATGGGCTAGACATGTGCCGTGGGTGGATAGGACAAATACATATACAGAACTTTTGTGAGGAAACATTATAGAAGGAAGCAAAGGTATAGATGGGAATACAGTTTTAAAATGGTTGACAAGAAGTTATTTTGATTGGATCGGTTTTTGCTAGCATAGAATAGGCTGCATTTGTAGCAGTGATGAATCATTGGGCTGAATGGGTTTTGTGGAAGTTCTGACCATATTTGGTCCAGGAATTGTAAACAGATAAATGTAAAAAGCTACAGGTACCTGCACACTGCAGATGCTGTGGCTCTAGATGGTAAATCTGAAGTAATTGTCACAGGAACATAGAAGGGAGTGATACTGTGCTGCCCAATTTGTCTGCTGTCCCATTCCCATTTGAGAAAATACCAGTCAATAAATATAGCAATTTACATATGCTGTTCTGTTGTGGAAATGCAACTGAGTGACTTACAGCAAACTGCTTTCTAATGTTGCAGGACCCGCAGACTCGGCAGAGGGTCCCCACTGGACCTGCTCGCAGTGTACATTCCAAAACCACCCCCTGTTGGACAAGTGTGAGACATGCGAGATGCCTCGTATATTGATAGGTACGGACACCTGCTATTGTCATTCCACTAGCTCGAAGACCTGTCCACCCAGCTCACTGGTTAACCTTCCTGTAATGCATGTGAAACGAGTGCCATCTGCTAAACTAGCGTGAGTTGTAGCGTGACTAACGGAACAATGGCTCAAACATGCCATTACCTCCATGCCAGATAGTGAAAAATATTTATGTGACTGACCTGCGGATGCCAACTGCACTGATTACGTTCAGTTGCTACTTCTGGACCCTGCACCAGGGGCAGACAGACTCTGTGGCCGTCGTTGATCGGACCACGTGACTCTCAAAGAAATTGAAGGGACCACTGTACAATAACTGCCCTGTTGCTAATGTAAGGCAGTAATTAATCAGACCAGTGTGTTTTGTTAAGTAAATATGAATTATAAATTTTAATATGCAGAGTCATATGCTAGAGACTGAGAACACACAAGTTTCAAGGATGTCACACCATCAGGAGTGACCTTAGTAAGAATGGAAAATCAAAATGGCCTCACACAGTCACGTCATCTTCAAAAATTCATGATCAAAATAAATAAAATTCTGGTGTGTGTGTGTTAGGGCATGGCTATATATATTCAGTGGGTATGACATTGTTTGATTTGACTGTTGTGTTCATACTCTCCTGACAGACGCAGTACCCACTTTTTATAATGTAATGTGGTATATGCCTTTTAGTGTGTGGTTTCCATTTAGCTGTTAGTTATTGTAATGGCAGCCATTGTGTTAGTGCTTAAGGCTTCTGTTTATCACACTTGACCTTGTGTTCAGATAATGTTACTTAATGATTTCCAAATTATTTGACCATTGATTTATTCAGTTGCTTGTCATCCATAGGTGATTTTTTTAATTCGTTATATAAATTTTCCTAAATTTCCACAAATTGGGGCTTTGGTCCTTTTCCTTTCTCAAAAATTTAAGGTGGGGATAGGGAACGGAGGAATAGTCTAACAGTAATAGTGGGCATTGGGCGGGGGGACTTGTCACAGGTACCCAGTCACTTCAGAATTCATGTCATGCCACTGTAAATAGTCATTGTTATCACTGCTACATTGTAGCGTGCTCTACGTATTGCAGAAGTGATTGTTAAGTGTGTTAATCGTGTAAAGGGGCTGAATAGCAGAAGACAGTTAAGCTGACATTGAAGCATAAGCTTCAATTAATTGCTGCCCTTGATTAACAGGAGTCAGAGACAAATGTGGCCAGAGTTGATGAAATATGCAAGTGCCTGCAATAGTGTTGCTTGACGTTTTAAGCATGAGTGTATGAAAATGACAGACAAAGGGTTGGCACTGCTTTAGAAATTTGGTTGTCACCGCACAAAAGCCCAATTTGCTTATGAAGGTGCGTGAGTTTATTTCGGTGCCTGACCAGGCTGGCCAATGCATCAGTGTGAAATTGCTGTGCAGGAAAAGCACATTACTGCCATCATTGCTGAAACTGATTCATTTTGCACAGAATTTCAGATATTCTTGCAGAAGAGAACCTGAAACATAACCAGATTCATTGTGAGCGAGTCTGGATTTTGTTGGACAAGACTTCACGTAAGAACTCTTGCATTTGGAAAAGAAAAATGTGCATTTAGCTTGAATAATTCAAGGTGTGCATCTTACAGTGATTGGTGAAGACAAAAGCCATGATCATGTAAGCACTTTCGCCCTGATGACGGAGGCAGTATGACCTCTGAAACGTTGGTTAACATCGACCAGACTACACAGCGCAATAACCCAGAAGACGGATATCTTCATACTCACTGCTGTGAGAACCTCAAGTCTTACATTTGTTTCATATGTTTCTTCTTTCCTAAATGAGTAAGTATTACAACAGAAAGCAGTGTTTCTGTCTACAGAAGATGGTCACATTATTCCATGTTTTAGCCCCCCAGTGTCACAGACATGGTATAATCCCCGGGTCAGGGTCTAATTGCATCAGTGAAACAGCACTACCGTGCTGGCCTTCTCTGAACACTTGCTTAAGATAACAAACGATGGAATTGTGATGAAAAGAAACTGAGAGCGTTGGTGCTACATTCAGTGAGAGCAGTGACATTTGCTTGATTATGAAGGAAACATTTTTTTCTATGTTCAGAGGAAAATGATTTCAAGAATTCTCCAACAAAGAAGTGAAGAAGTTGAAGTTATTGATGTAATCAGTGTTTTGTTTTGAATTGATTTGGAGCAGTTTATGAAGAAGACCTTTGAGACTGGCAGGAAAACCACGTGTTGTTCGTACAGTATGGCATTGCAGTGTGTTGACACTTTGTTGGGTCACGTGGATGAGTGTCAGTGATGTTACGGCTATAAGGAAAATCTGAACGATTGGGAGGAGCAGTCTAGATGACTTGCAAACATAAAACCACATTATGGATTGTAAATCAGTGTACCCTAAAGGTCAGTTGAATAATTTGCAGAAAACGGTTAAGTATTGATTGTCGTGGCGTGGGTTACAGTGTCATGTAATCTTGTAGCTGGTGGGTTACCATTGTTTCAGAGGAATGTACGAGGTGCGATCGGAAAGTTTCAAGACTGCGCGTATAAAAACCCGTACACTTATCTCAGGTATTAAATTCATCCATCACCCTCGACGTAGTTCCCCTGGGAGTGAACACAACGATCCCAGCGCCGCTGCCAAGCCTGGAAGCATCCCTGAATATATTTCTTTGTCAGCCTGTCAAGCACCATCTGCGATTGTGCCTGAATCTCTTCTATCGTCTCAAATCTCCTTCCCTTTAGCTGAATTTTCATCTTTGGGAAGAGGAAGAAGTCACACGGAGCTTAGAAAGGAAGTTGGGGTCGGTTCTTGCAAGATCTTTGAGCTCCTGACAAACGAGAAGTCGATTCTGCTTCTGGTCCTCAGACAGGAGCCTTGGCACAAACTTGGCCGAGATGCGTCGCATGTGGAGTTCTTCCTTTAGAATCAGCTAACAGGTCCCATAGCCTATCCCAACAATGTCGCACAAATCGTTGATGGTACGACGTCGATCTTCGTAACAGTTTCGGGCGTTGTGCTCGAAGATGGTCGGCCAGAACGCTCGTCATCATCGACAGAGATTCGGCCATTTTTAAAACGTTAATGCCACACAAAAGTTTGTGCACGACCCATTGCGGACTCCCCAAATGCTTGCTTTAGCATTTCATAGGTTTCCGTAGCCGTTTTGGCGAGTCTTTGGCAAAATTTGATGCACACGCCATTCCGAAATCGCAGGAGGGTCGGTGTAATGCACTACCAAAACGCCCGTAACTAAGAAACAAAAGCTAATTCGATGATGCCGGCTGGCACACTGATTCACTATGAATGTAGGCCGCACCCCCTAGCGGCAGAAGCTCGTTCTACATCCGGTTCGCCCTCTATTGACACAGTCTTGAAACTTTCCGATCGCACCTCGTATAATCTCTATTTTTATGGTTCAGTAGTTTGTGTAAGAATACAAAACACAATATCTTGGATTATCTGTGTGTTCAATTTATTTCTGCATCTTGTCCCGTTTTTTAACATGTACTACCAGGATGAGGCCATTAATATTCCAGAGCTGTTAACTGATGTCTTGCATGTATTTTTGGTTCATGTTCCAGCTAAAAACTGTGGCATTGCCGCTGTGATGCTTTCAGCCTCATGCATAAATATTTGTATGCACTAAACACATGTGGCTGTGATTCCCAGGATTGTGATGTAATTTCATTGTACATTTGTGTTGTTACAAAAATTACTGTCTAGTTAATGAACAAACTAAACTTTCTAATTCCATTGAAACTTCACAGTTCAGGCAGGTACATAAATACTGGCTTTTTTCTGCAAAACTTGTGAAGTTTTATTGTTGCAGCACTACAGGAGTTGGAAGTATTTGTGTGTTCTTGACTCATCACCAGACCGCAGGACAAAATTTTGTTATAAGGGTTGTTAAGTCCTTAAAAAATGTAGCAGATTTAAAATATTTGGGAATGACAGTAACAAATCAAAATTGGATCACATGAAGAAATTAAAAGGAGATTCAGTCAAGGAAAGCTTGCTACCGTGCAGTTCAGAATATTTTGATTTCCTGTCTGTTGTTTAAAAATACGAAGCTTAAATAAACAAATGTATAATTTAACATGTTGTATGGGTGAGTCTAGGTCGTATATTCATGGAAGAACAGAGATTGTGGGTACTGAGGGGAGTATTTGGACCTAAGAGGGATAAATGACAGGAGGAAGGAGTAAACTGTATTTAATGAGGAGCTCTGTAATTTTTTATTCTTCTTAAGATGTGTCCACTGTAACTGCGTTGCCTCACAGCCAAGCCACACTGTCTGTGTCCATCTTCCCACAATTTCTTCCCATGGCCTCCCTTCCTTCTGTGTGATGTCTTTCCTGACCTGTTGTTCCCATTGTGGAAATGTCTTTCTCTCATTTACATGTTCAGAACCTTCTTTAGAATTTTTCTTCATTTTAATTTTTCCTCATATGTTTAAAAGTCACATCTCGTCTGATATTCAAATGCAGTGACACCTGCTTGGTCCATTTCAAAGTTTGTGCTCCATGCATTAATGCATATATGCAGTAACTTTTAAATGTGCATATTTTCCTCATTGTTTGTCATTTCCCATATTTGTAGTAGTCCCTCATTAGTTGGTCAGATTTTAGTGCATTTTTAATATGTCTATACTTTTGTATTTTACTTGGCAAGTGCTTGAAGCTCTCCACCTCTTTTATTTCACGATTATTACATCTTTTTCATGCCTGCTGTCTTTCAGATTCTTTTCATAACCACACATTTATCTAGGAAGAAGACTGTCTTCAGGGCTGTAGCGCCATGTAGTCCTTGCTGCCTCCATCATCAAGGATCCATGATGATGGAGGCAGCAAGGACTTTTGAAACATTGGTAAACATCTACCAGACTACATGCTGTTACAGCCCAGGAGACAGCCATCTTCATCCTCACTGCCATGAGAACCTGAAATCCCACCCATTTATCTGTACAGGTAAACCTCGCTTTACGCCAAGGATGCTTTCCTGGACGAACCAGCGTAAATGGAATCGGCGTAAATTGAAACTCTTTTTATAATATAAATCAATCGGAAGTCAATGACATGCGTTCCCAGAACCCAAACATTGATGACTTAAGTTCCTCAAAATTGACTTTGCCTTATCCGTGATAGCAATTTCAGTCAAGGGAATGTTTTTTTCGATTCATGTCATCCACCCATAGCAACAGTAATTTCTCCATTCTTTCTAAAAGTTTACTTCTGCTATAACTCACTTGCGTTGCACTTACTCTCGTAGCCTGTTGCATTGACTTTTATTTTGTACGAATGTTTCATTATGGTAGTCACAGTGGAAGGAGGCTACTTCATACTTCTGCACACATTACGACAGGTATCACCACCTTCTATTCTACGAATTAAGTCCATCTTATCTTCTAACGTAGTAGACCTACGCAACGTTTTAGCAACACACTCACTTCTCTTACCAGACGTGGTGGCTCTTCTACAATTTATAAACATAAAACAGTTGCTACTGCAGAATAGTGGTCGAACAACGCAAACACATTTAGCACAATTTTCTGCACATTCAATGTGTCAACAAGAAGCAAACTGAGCACATTTTTCCTTACTCCCTTATCAGGCTGAACACAAATGACTCACCGTGAAGAGTGACCAATGCTCACGTGACTCTTGCTCAATGTTGGCGGATTTTTAGGAGACTATCTCGCAACTACTTCGCAATGAGTGCAGAGGTGACTGTATTTATAATTTTTATTCAAAATCAGCAATGTAAGAATTACGAGTTAGTATAAGAATCAGTACGAGAAACATTGTAAAACGTTATAAATAATAGTAAAATATATGTTTTTCACTTTTTGACTTGCTGGTGTCAAAAGCGGCGTTATTCTGAATCGGCGCAAATCGAGGTTTACCTGTATTGACATTTAATCCAAAATATTTACATACTGTAACAACCCTTTGAAATTTCTTTACACAGGTGGTTTCCTTTGATTCCCGTATAACCGTGTCATATGCAGAATTTCTGGTATTGCACTCTTTTTCCCCTGCTCTTACTGTCCTTAATATCTTGTCCATTACCATGTTCAACAGCACAGCACAGCAGAAAAGTGTTTCCCTCTCTAATACTTGAAAACTTGTAGATTTGTTCCATCTACAATCACACTTTTTCTCTCACTTGTCATATTCTTTATTCTTTCTATTAGTCATCTGGATAAATTTGCCTTGTGCAGTGGTTTTCAGTTTTTCTGTCTCTTTATATTATCATATGCCTATTCAGTATCAGTAAAAGCCAAACATGTTTTACTGCCAAATATCCATCTTTTCTGTAATGTCTATCTCACTCAGAAAATTAAATCAGCTGTTGACCTGTTAACCTCTAAAAATTTGGTCTCTGTACCAAATAATATTAGGATGAACAAATCAAGGTGGATTAGATTATTGGATAATGTAGCAGGCATGAGGTGATAAATGCATACAAAATTTTGTTTCAAAGTCTGAAAGGAAGAGTACCACTTAGAAGACATGGGCATAGATAGAAGGATATTAAAATGGATTTTAAAGAAATATGGTGAGGAAATAGCTAGCTGAGCATACTGTTAGGTTCTCAAGAATGACTGCTCTGTGATGTTGATTGTGTATAGGAGTTTTAAAAGATATATATATATATATATATATTTGTTTGTTAAATATTTTTAAAATTTAAGTGCAGCATTGTGTACAGGTGTTGTAATTATGTGCGAATAGTGAGTAAGCACTGTCAAAAGTGCTATTTCCTTTTCCATATGTGGCATGTAACTTACCTTTAACCTGGCTGTTGTGTGCGCTGTAGATGCAAGTCTGGCATTCAATCTGGTTTCAGGTGATTATTGTAAAGTACAGTGATTATGCAGAATAAAGATATGCAGTCTTTTGTAATATACCATGAATGTGTTCCATATATATGTGTTGTTTTCCTTACCAACATACCATTTCTTATTCAAAACTTGCTAGTTTTGGATCAGTGACAGTTACAAGCTCTTGATTCCGTGTAGGCCATCTGTTGAATTGAGTTATGTATGTCCCCTGAAAATAGATTTTGATGACATTCTTGTCCTTCGGCCAAATTAGCTTTCTGTTGTATTAAATATTCACTAAACAGAATTTAAGGTGAAAGTACATATTCTAAAAGGAACAATGTTTTAGAAATCGGTAGACTAAGGAATGCCTTTATGGACACCTTGTACAGCTGAACTCCATGTAATCTTATCTCCAGCCAATGGAGAAGAAGGTGGGGCCTCATCTTTTCCATGTGATGTATTTATTTGGAGTTACATATTACACAGGTAAGCCAGCCAGCATTTATACTGATTTGGCACTCCGCAGACAGCAGCAGGAGTCTGGTAGGAACAGAATATTGTGGCTGAGTTAGGGGAAATATGAATGGTGTATTGTGAAGAATGCTCTTGAAAAGTCATCACTGTTAGGAGTAAGATATAGGTGGGAAGGTTTTGTTAAAATGTATCTTTGAAACATGGCTTTTGTAATTTGGGCTGGATGGAATTGGCCCAGAATTTGATGCAGTTGTCTTTGATTGGTTCTGTTAAGGGGTCTTGTACTTCAGGATTGGGTTTTTGTGCAAGAAATTTAAATAAAATGTAGTCATTCCTTGGATGAAGTATGTTCTGTTTCCAGTTGCTTAATGATGTGTTTTTCTTTTAGCTGGAGGAGAGATGCAGGATATTCACATTCATGTGACGCATCACAACTTTCCGGCCAGACGTAAGCACATGTCATGTTCTAACACAACTTGCATATGTTTACACTTTTGCTAAAGATTTTCATGTAAACCAGCTTGAAATTGGATTAGACACTGCAGAAATAGTTTAACTTTAGTTGGGAGCCTTACCAAGGAACAAACACTTTCAAAATTAATGCAGTGGTATAACAAAACAAGTATGCCAGAAAACTCAAAAAAAACCAATAGTCCACAATCATTTTGAATATTTTACAAGTCTCATTTTTTGGAGTAAACCACATACCAAATTTTGTGTACATAATTTGTCACTCATCTATTGTCCAAGTCATTTTGCTTGTTCCTTATTAACTTAATTAACTGCCGTTCCATTTCTTGCTTCCATTTTCCCTATCCAAATAATTAATGCATAAGGAAAATGTGCAGAAAACACTTTCATTTTGGAAGAGTCCGCTAGAACTGTTGGAACAGGAGGAAAAGGAGGGAGATGATCTGCAACTGTTCTACAGAATTCTTGGAATTTTATCTGTTAGTGTATGTAGCTCACTCATTGTTACTGTTTCCATCATCAAATGAAGCGGCCAAGCCACCACCTACAGTAGCAGGTTCTTTTACTGTAACAGTCTGAATATCAAATGTTGCTATGTACACTGCTGACCTCAAGTTAACAATCCATCTCCCTCCCTTGAGTCACCTGAGTAGGTTTTATTTTGTTAACACAGAAGTTGGTGTATTTTTTCGACCAAATATTTCATAGTCAGTTCAATAACATCTTAATACATAACACATGACATTTAAATATAACCGATGGCTAGTCTGTAGAGGTCCTGGTGATGATAACCATTATTGGTTGGTTGCATATGTTGGTAAGTAAATGAGTAGCTAAAATGTTTTAATGATGTAATGTTGTTTCAAAATCACTGGAATATTAAATTTTCAGCCAAGACAATTGGGCTACTGCTGAAGTTAAATGGTTCAAAAGTTTTTATCCCTGCAGCCCCGCTTCCCATTCCTGTTTAAGTGCAACAACTTTGCTCCACTGCCAAAACATTGACAATAATGTGACCTAACAAAGCCTTTTCATCATTTCATACAGTTTCATTAAACCATTCTTAGGTGAAATAATTGTTTATATATTTACTTCTTTTAAAGTATTTGCATTGTATGTTAAAAGTGCCAATGCAACAGTTCCTAATTAACTGTGATGGACATTATCTTGCCATTAAAAATAACTGTGAACCCCAGCTTTTGGGAATGTAGATTTGGGAGGTGGGGGTGATATGGCTTATAGTCCTGTGAATACAGTATATGTTTCCAAGTGTTCCCTTCCCAGAATTTCCTAAAATTCAGTATTGTTCAGAACTTTATAATACCCTGTTCAGTATAACATAATTTGTTCTGTCATGTTATTCCCAACTTTCAAAATACTACAAAATTTGCTATGCTTCATTAGTTCACAGATGAAGTGATGGCTTCAGTTAAGCAATGCCAATGCGGCAAGACTGATGTGATCCCGTTTTTTTAATGTAGAGCGATACGATTTCATTTATGATGGCATGAATTGGAATAATATTTAAGAATAGCCCATGGCAGCTTCCAATACATATTCCAAACAGACTGTTACATAACCTCACTAATTGACAGAGTAGTTTAATGGCTCTACTTGTTTGTTCTAGGGGTCATTCACAGTTGGGTTGTCTGACTATCTACCATCACTGATGCAGTCCACCCCATGAGCTTCTTGGATGCTAAATCTTGAACCCAACATGCAGAATTGTTTGCAGGCCAACATGTTAAACACTTGTCATATAACCAGGTGGGTTCAACCAGGCAAGTAATGCAGATGTTTTGTTCTTCACAACAGGTATCACCACATTCCCTGCTGACTCACATGAACACTGTACTTTTACTTATTTTCCAGTGAGTTTCATATCATGGAGTATAGTTCATAGAAATTTAGTGTTCACAAGGGACATAAAATATCTGCCAAATCCACAAATGATGAGTACTCTGATGTCTAAATGTTCTTGGCGAGCCTTCATCGACAAGAAATGATGAATTCAGGTGCATTTTAAGAGGCATTATATCACTGCCTAAATATTCACATTCCTGAGTTACATAACCATTCATTATGCACATAATCATCGTGGAATGTGATGTGTTATGAACTGTGAAGTAAAATGTAGAATCTTCATACATCTCTGACCTTGAGATTTGAGGTTCTCACAATGGTAAATGCCATTCGTCTTCTGGGTTGTAACACCATGTGGTCTTGTAGGTAGATACCAACATTTCAGAGAAACGTGGAGAATTTCAACCCAGAAGACTAACACCAACAGCTTTGAACTTCTGAGTGCTTTCTGTTGGCTTTCGAATAAATGTTATAAAACATAAATTTGAGCTTCATACTTTAATTTTAGGATGTAAAATGTACAGCAAAGTATGACGATGGTTAAAGAAAGGAGAAGGCTTTCTTAACACATTTACTGTCAGGTGTTTAAAGAGCTGACTAGGTTTAAATGCCAGGGTTTTTGAAGCAGTCTGCCAATTTTCATGCCCTTATATATAAAATTATTATGCAGAATGCATTAGAGAGAGAAATTTGACATTTTCAGCATACCCTCAGTATACTTTCAGGGTGTTTTGTCGTGTGGATGACACCAAAATATAAAATTGCATTTACTTACTTCTTAGACTGGCAGATATTGTGCCTGAACAAATATCCATTTTGCTGTGGTAATGTACATAACACGTTTATAAATATTAAACAGAAGAATATTTAATGTCAATGCAAGTTTTAGTATGTCAACAACACAAATGTTTTACATAATACACATATTTCTATATTCCATTGAAAAGGTCACCTTTCCACTTGTTTTAATTCAGATGAAAATGAAGGTAGTTTATTAATGACTCAGTACAGCAATAATTTCTGAAAAAATCAATTGTAAACATTTTAGAAAAGCAGAATTGAAGAAGAGGCAATGTTCCATATAAGCCATTACTGACATCTAACATGTTCCTGTATTTAAATGAAGCACATAGTCATGTTTACATTCCATAATATATGGCCACCAGTACCATACACATATCTGGTGATGGAGTAATTAATAATTTCACTAACACACAAAAGTTTAGAAAGACAGATGTGTTTCTTGTGTGACAACCACAGGATGTGTTACTCATCCTTTCGTTTCAGGGGAGAATGCCTGATCTGAAACAGGAAGTGAGGACTGAATGGTCAGCAAGAAACAAATTCCATATGGTACTCAATGGCCACTGTGTTGAAAAATTCAAAGTTATATATTTTGTAAATGTGAAAATAACATGTACATAAGATACAAAAAAATATAGTAAATATTTCAGTTTATTGAAGAAAAGTAAATTACAAATCAGCACTGCTCAGACAGCTGTGCCCCGTTCCAGGTTCTGCTTGATCTCTGTAGTATGCGCTCCATAGAACCGTTCAAGTTTCTTGTTGAACTTCATGTTGCGTTCATTTATATAGTCTATATCCGCGTCGTCATTGTGCATTCGCCGTCTGCTGTATTTCTCACGTTTTGCAACCCTATGGAGAAAGAATCACAACATGTAAGTATCAGGGCATGAGACCAGAACTGATGCATGACTTGTTTGTTTGGAAAATTGACTTACTGTTTCTCCAAGTCTTGAACCATGCGATCTATCCCTTCCTTCGTGTCCTTCTGCAGACCATGCAGAATGGCATTCTGCCCACCATAGAATGCTTCTCCTAACTTCTGCTTCTGGCATTCGTACTGTTCCATGTCAGGCTTAATACTCTTCACCAGACGATTGTACTGCCTGCAATCAAAAGAGTTCATGACATTTCCTAATTTTATCATCTTACTTATATCTAGTTAACTGTGCTGTTTTAAGGATTAATACTGTATAGGTAGGCCCCGATTTATGCCGGGGTTACATTCCACCTCCTCAGGGTCGTTAGCTGAAGCGGCGTAAATCGAGGAAGAATTATAATGCGTTGTACTGGCGGATGAGGAGAAAGCAACTAACGCCGACACTAGTGCCGCCTAGGTACCCACTTCCTGTGCTGCGTTTATGCGTGCGTTTTCAAATTTTATTTTTATATATTTTTTTCATTATTATTTTGAAAGGGTGTTAATGTGAAACAGCGTAAAATGAAGCATCGTAAAGTGGGGCCTACCTGTAGTTTAATTTTGCAATGTCTATTGTGTAAAAACATATTGTTAAATAAGAGATATCCTTCATGGAGTCCAGAAATTAAATTAAATTCTAAAAATGTAGAAGAAATTGTTGTGAAGGCCAGTGCAGCTGAATGCATGAAGTGTTGCGTGAAAATCAACGTCACTTTCCTTTCTGTGACTAAAACATTTTTTGAGAAGTAAGTAGGTTCTGAATTGCAAATTACTAAGGGGCATACTTTGGAAATGGGGAAAATATACATATTTAAAAGTTACTGTATACCCATATTAACAGAAACGTGGACGTGGATCAAGGCAGATACTAGCAGATTTACAAATGCAGAAATGCAATTTTTAAGATGTACAGAACG